GTGCGACCAAAGGCACCAAAATTTAGAGCCTTTGGGGCATTTTAGTGGCTCTCCAGGAGTGCTAATCTTTTAGTTCCTGTAGAGGCACTAGAGTCATTTCCCAAGTAAAGACCTGCAACGAGCGAGCAAAGGGAGCAACTTATTTGCTCGTAGGGCCACGCGCCGCGTGCCAAGCCAAGCCAATTCAGCGCGCGGCCCTCCGGTCCGGTATCGCGAGTGGTCGCCGCGTCGCGTAGGCATGTGGCACCGCGCACACCGCGCACCGCCACCCCACTCCTAGGCGCGAGCAAATGTGCCCGCTTCTGCTCGTGTGATGTGTGAGCTCGGGAGCGAGCTAAAGCAATGGGCCTGCGAGCCAAACGAGCAGCGGTCCCGCCGACCGCAGAGGCTCTGATTGCTCGCTCTTTGAAGCTCTCCATGTACCTGGAAGAAATCCAGTTAGCGTAAAAGTGTGGCCGAGCGTGCGCGCGAGACGCCAGTTAGCGCAAGTCGCGAATAAGCGTAGAAGCGTGTAAGCGCTTCGTAACGTCTTTGCGATTAAAAACGTCTTAGCTATCATAGAAAACTGCCCAGAAACGTTAAAGGTGGTGAGGGACAAAAATATTGCTAATTCCTGATAGTTAAAGACGTTTCTAATTCGTTCTAATCACAAAGCATTACGAAGCCCTTCCACGCTTCCACGCTTTTACGCTACTACGCTTATACGCGACTTGCGCCAGCTAGCGTCTCGCGCGCACGCTCGGCCACGCTTTTACGCTAACTGGATATCTTCCAGGGAAGGGTGTTGCTTCTTGCCTTTGTTTTTCCAGTGAAGCCGTTCTGCGCTAGTTGACATTCTATACACTGGCGTGATTGAGTCCTCAGGCCCACGGGGAGTTTGTCACCCTACACCCCGCCCGGCCCTGCCCGGCCCTGCCGCGCCCCCTCTAGCCCTCTCACGGCCCGTGTCTCCATGAATGGGGAAGTAATCACGGAGGGGTATGATCACAGGCGAAGCAGCGCGCTTCCGCACAAACGAAGTTGCCAGCTTTACCCCCTGGTCGGAGCCTGCGGCTTGAGATGTAATTTCGAATCAAAGTTAAACCTACGTTACGTCTCGGGCATTTTTAGCAGATGATACCTTACAACCTTACACCTAAACTGAACATAACTAACTATACCGGGTGTTGCATAAAAGACACAGGTGCGGGCGGGTTTGCCTACCCAAGGGGTTATGGCGCCTTACGGGTAGAGCGGGTAGGCAAACCCGCCCGCGCCTGTGTCTTTTATGCAACACCCGGTACATGAGTAATGTAAGGTGTCATTGCTTTTACTCTCGAATAAGAAAAGTCTTTACTTTACAGTAACTGACATCTTGTACACAGTTTGATTTGCAAAGTAGTGCAGTGCGTGAGTGTGTGTGATGGAGAGATAGAGAAAGGGCCGTTCTCGGACTCCGACGGCCCTTCCCTATTCCCTTTCTTGTGCGAGCTTGTGACGGGTCCCTTTTCTGGCTACCCAAAGGAAGGACTGGAAGGGCAGCGGATGCCCAAGCCCCCAACCCCGCGTTCCGAAGAGCCTCAGAATGAGACATGGGGCTGGCCGCGTCGGCTACTTGTATTTCCGGTTTTGTGTTTCCACAATTTTAACTGAAATGCAACGACACAAAAAAAAACAAAAAAAAACTACATGGCCACAAGAGATCGTATGGGGTTGCCGAAACAACCAGTACGAAAAATTTTAGTCCGTCATTAGTCCGTTTTCGGTCTGGAAAGAGTCCGCACCCCTGTGGACCAGTCCGCGTTCGATCCGTCGTGCACCGGACTAGTCCGCTTTTAGTAGGCCTACCCCCGGGCGTGCGGACTAGTCCGCTTTGAGGTCGCAGCGGCCAAGTGCGATGCCAGACCAGTACGCAGATAGTCCGTCCTCAGCGGACCAGTCCGCAGACAGTCCGCCCTCACCGGACTAGGTCGCTTTCAGTCCGCCCCATGACGGACTAGGTCGCTATCAGTCCTCCAATGGCGGACTACTGGCCTGGCGGACCAGTCCGTCCTGAGTACCTACCGCAGCGGACCAGGTCGTTTTCAGTCCGCCCGGGAGCAGAGCACAGCACTGCTAAAAAGAAAGAATTGTCCCGGAGCGAATCCCGAAACAAGTTTAGAATGCTGTAACACACTAAATGGCGAGGGACAATTTTTGTACGTAGGCTGGATGTGTCTTTGAGCACATCTAAACCAAATGCAAATTTGCATCCAAATCACATACAAAATATAGCATTTGTACCTAGCCTAGGTACACTTTGTACCTCTGTACAGACAAATTTGTATCTGATGAAGATGTGCTCAAAGACACATCTAACTAAGGTACAAAAATTGTCCCTCCCCATTTAGAGTGAACTTATAGTTATAGGAATTTTGACCTCAAATTTTATTTGGGCCATCTACACTCTATTTTAGTTGGGCCATTTTAATTTTATTGAAGTCGAAGCAAATTTTTTGGTAACTCGTAAACGGCTTGAGCTAGGTCAAAACAGACAGCGGATTTGGCTTCGCCTCGTTCCTTACACTCTATGATCAGTTTTCGATTTTCACCGTCCTGATCGGTCCTGATATTTTACCTTATTTAGCGATAATAAACATTAAACTTTGCACTTTGCCCAATCAAGCGGAATTGTTCCAGCCGGACTACCCGACGCAAAATTTCCTGTACGCAACAAGATCGCTTTCAGTTAGTCGTGACAAACCTAAAACGTACTAGTTGCGACCCTCTCAGCGAGTTCGCGAGTGATTCGCCCAAGTTCACAAAAGGTGCGCGGATGTGTCATTTCGCGCGCTT